AAGCTATAGGTGCCTTTAAGGTTTTGAGCAGTAATCGGTCACAAATGCTTGGTTTACTGTCTGCTATTAAAATACTGCAACAAAATTTCATTTTTTTGGATACAGTATTCTCTTAGAATGAACTTTTTTCAATGGACAAGTCTTGCTTGTAATAGTCTGTAGTGTCCCCATACACTACAATCAGTTTGTGAAAACACCACCTCTAGATTGTCACTGCTACTGGTATGAGCTCTTGCATTGCTTAATGCTTTCTTTCTCTCTCTTGCTCTCCTTCACTGTATCTTTGCCCCATTCTACCAGTTACTGATGAGCAATCAGTAATTTCTTTAAAGAACCATGTAGGCTGCGGAAACAGGAGTCCTTCCCTGGGTACTGAAAGGCATCTTTTGGACCCTCTGAAATCCAGCTCTGACTATACCACCCAGAAACAGTACCCTTAGGTGGTCCATTCCCAGCACTACCTTCATGAGGATATTATTTTTTTGGTTCTGACTCCTGTCACCAATTGACGTTTTCACAATCTGCCTGTTTGGTTACTTGAACCAGGGCTTCCTGACTCAGGTGGGGTATTGTTCCTGCATCACAAGTGCCCTTTTCTCAACCTCCCACGCCTGCCTGTTGGTCATGAGTTGCAGATATTGCAGCAATATTTTGCACTCCTATCTTCTCTAATATAAACCTCTCAATTGAAATTTAACCCTTTGTGTTTCAACTCTAGTACTCCCACAAGAGTACCACCTGCAGTTTGTATTCCTGTTTCTAATTATTTTAAGTTACTGACCATTGTTTTCGGCTGAGCAACCAAGGAAAAGGATTGACCGTAGGGCACGAAATAAGTTACTAGTAACATGGTTTTTTTTTTTTTAAAAAAAAAAGCAAATGAGTTAAACTCTTCCCCAAATTCTGTTTTTCTTAAGTATCTGTTGACCCTCTCCCACCCCTACACAACGTTGCCTCCTATTTGGGCTGTTTAAATGGAATGATGTAAACTGAAATGTAGCTGGCCAAAGTAATCTGGTTAAGGCAAAAAGCAAACCTTTGACATCAGAGAGAGGTTCATCTAGCAACCTGATCTGCTGCTCCCGGGGTGTGGTGGTGTGGTGGTGTGGTTTTTTTCCCTCTTCCACATTGATGAGACCAAGCAAAGACTCTGAGACCATTTTTGTATAGCATCTGTGCTCTGTACACAACAAACAACAACACCTTCTGGCCCCCAAGGTGACATGTCCATCCTGGGCCTACTCCAGTGTCACCACAACACCACCACCTGCAAACTGGAGGAGCAGCACCTCCTATTCCACCTCCAGAACCTACAGCCCAATGGCCTAAATGTGGATTTTAACAGTTTTAAATCTCCCCATCCCAGGACCAACCCGCCCCGTCATCCCAGCCTCCTTGGCATGAAACCGCCTGCTCATCCTCTCGCTCACTCCCTTTTTTTTTCCCCCCAGTCCCAGTCCTCGCTCCCCATTTCTAAAGAAGGGCTCTGACCTGAAAAGTCAGCTTTCCTGTTCCTCCAGCTCTGTACTTTTAAGTCTTAGTGTAATATCTGTTAGTACATTCTTTACAGTACTTTTTTTACGAAACTAAAGAATCCACACTCCAACTGCAGCAACAATGGTGCTGACTTGTGGTTACTGTGTACTATGTGTGCTTACCATGTGGTTACTTTTATGGCACCCAAGTACAATACTGGCTGACAGAAATGGTAGGTACATTTTAGAACCTGAAGATTATGGTAACTTTGTTTCACAAACACAACTTGTGATCCTAAAGTTTCACTCTCCAATTGGAGACTCTTGCCTATAAGTGTTGAGCTGGATGAGAAATAATTCAGCTGTACTGATGCAAGGACAACTCAAACCCACTGTTTTGTATTTTAGGGGTGGAATTTTACTCCTTAAACACAAATGTCCGAGTTGTAAAGTCATGACTAAAGACGTGGATTAAATATTGAAACGAGAAGACGAGGTTTACTAACAAACAGGTTTTTCCAATTGGTGCCTTCAGTTTTGAAACTTGTAAGTTTTTTTTTTTTTGCCAACTTGCTGTCGAAGACTAATGGGTTTTTAAGAGCAAATCCAGCCTCTAAATGCCATCTATGGCTCGAAGTAAACCAAGATATTGAAATGCTGTGGTGAGCACAAGCTGGCTGATCTGAATAATCTAGACTTTTTTAACCAGCTTCCAAAAACATCCTTTTGGATAAAATGTGCTAGCTAAGCATGGATTTATATACTACCTATCCTTCAGTGATATTTTCCTCACCTTTTTTTAATTTTTGGAGCATTGTCTGTTGTTTTGAGCACTGGCTGACTGACAAATGCAGTTTTGCATAGCAGATCAGAATAATATTCTATCTGATAGCATGATCTTTTTTATTAATCTCCATTGAAACCACTGACTAGAACATCAGAAAGCTGCATTTTTGGAAATTTTTTTTTTAACAGCTTTGGTATTTAAAATCTGCACCTAACCAGAAAGTGGGGTTTCAAACATGAATCAGTAGCATAGAGTTCAGATATAAAGGTGCCTGTTTAGTTCTGTCTTGTTTACCATTTCCTGCCAACATATTCCTATTATTTAGCTGTATAATTGGTGCATTTTCTTTTTAGTTGGAGTTGTCTTAATTTAAACTTTCACCAAGTTAAATTAACTGTTTTGCTTAGTTCTTGGTGAAATGCCTGCAGTCTTAATCATTGTTTAAGCAATAGAATATCTTCCAACTAATAAGTAAGAGGAAGGTTTTCAATCTCAAAATAGCACTTTAATGGTGCATCTGGCTTTGGTCATGTAAATGTTTGTTAACTTTTAAAACAAGCTTTCCAAATTTCTACTGCCCTGGCAGAGACTTGTGGTTTACAGATAAAACAAATTTGTACTTCAATCTCTGAACCACAGTGATTTCATTAGAAAAATGTAACCACCTTTTTAATCATGGAGGTTTACTTCTGTGTATGTACACCTGAAAAATAATCCGTACTTTCTTTATTTTGGTGCACACTTTTTTTAAAGTTACTGGCCCCTGTGTGAGCAAGTAGGGTGTGAAAGACAACATCACTGTTAATATTAATAGAATAGAACATAAGAACTAGGAGCAGGAGTAGGCCATCTGGCCCCTCGAGCCTGCCCCACAATTTAATAAGATCATGGCTGATCTTTTTTGAGACTCAGCTCCACTTACCCGCCCACTCACCATAACCCTTAATTCCTTTACTGTTCAAAAATTTATCTAGCCTTGCCTTAAAAACATTCAGCGAGGTAGCTTCAACTGCTTCACTGGACAGTGAATTCCACAGATTCACAACCCTTTGGGTGAAGAAGTTCCTCCTGACCTCAGTCCTACATCTGCTTCCCTTTATTTTGAGGCATTGCCCTCTAGTCCTAGTTTCACCTGCCAGCGGAAACAACCTCCCTGCCTCCACTTTATCTATTCCCTTCATAATCTTATCTTTCTAAGATCTCCCCTCATTTTTCTGAATTCCAATGAGTATAATCCCAGTCTACTCAGTCTGTCCTCGTAATCCAACCCTCTCAACTCTGGAATCAACTGAGTGAATCTCCTCTGCACTCCCTCCAGTGCTAGTATATCTCTTCTCAAGTAAGGAGACCAAAACTGCACACAGTACTCCAGGTGTGGCCTCACCAGGACCCTGTACAGCTGCAGCATAGCCTCCCTGTTTTTAAACTCCATCCCTCTAGCAATGGCAGACAAAGTTCCATTTGCCTTTTTAATTACCTGCTGCACCTGCAATCCTACTTTTAGCGATTTCATGCACAAGGACACCCAAGTCCCTCTGCACAGCAGCGTGCTGCAATTTTTTTACCATTTAAAACAGTCCATTTTCCTGTTATTCCTACCAAAATGGATGACCTCACACTTGCCAACATCGTACTCCATCTGCCAGACCTTTGCCCACTCACTTAGACTATCTATATTAGAATCGTGCACATCCCTCTGTCCCTCCCCAGCGTATAGTTAATGCTCGCTGACATGGCCGTGTGTTTTGTTGAGGCTGCACCTGCATAAATTTTTTTTTAAATCTTATGGCTCATTCTACTAGCCCCAACTACTTGAATAAGATGGCCTCAAAGATGCTCCTGTTGAAATTTTGTATTCTAGAAGCTTCTGTGCTTCTAGGCTTTAAGAATGCCCCCTGATTTTAGGCCTCAATAGTAAATACTTTTTTCTTTATTCGTTTATGGGACGAGGGTGCTGTTGGCTAGGCAGCATTTATTGCTCATCCCTAATTGCCCAGAGGGCAGCTAGGAGTTGACCACATTGCTGTGGGTCTGGAGTCACACTTTAGGCCAGACCAGGTAAGGATGGCAGTTTCCTTCCCTAAAGGACATTTAGTGAACCAGATGGGTTTTTCCAACAAAAATTCACAGTCATCGTTAGATTGTTAATTCCAGATATCTTAGTGAATTCAAATCCACCATCTGCCATGGTGGAGTTCAAACCTGAGTCCCTAGAACATTGTCTGGGTCTCTGGATTAACAGTCCACTGGTAATACCACTAGGCCATTGGCTCCCCTCAAATTAATAACTATAATAAATTAAACCTAAAGTGGTTTTTTAAATGCCTCGAAATCCCATATCATAGAATTTTCTCTATGTAATAAAAACTGATGAGTGAAGCCTCTTTTTTGAGGTGGGAACCATGTGTTAGTGAAAAATCTACTTCATTTGTAGACTGGTGCTATGAAAGAAAATGGCAGATTATTTAATTCTGGAATTCTGCCATTCTGAAAGATTAGTGGCCTAACATACCATAATGCCATGTGCACAAACTTGTTTTTGGCAAACTTGTTTTTGGATTCTTCAGTGGTTAGGCATTTGACCCTTCTCCCTACTTTGTCGGCTGTGTTCCATGTACCAAATGCTAAAAGATTCCATCTCTTCACAGTTCTTTTGGTTTGTTTGCAGTGGCTTGTAAGAAGAACCTTGACAGCACTACACTAACTGTGCATGCAGATGAAATCTATTGCAAAGCCTGCTATGGAAAAAAGTATGGACCCAAAGGATATGGTTATGGCCAGGGTGCAGGGACTCTGAGCATGGACACTGGAGCAAGTGTGGGAATAAAGCCTGCGCAGTAAGTGAAGTCACATCAAGTTGATCAGCTGATGCAGTCCATATTTGTCATTCTTTCTTTGCCATAGGCAAGATATAATCAAGCCCCAGATGAAATTATTCAGACACTGTATGTATCTGTTTTTTTTCTCTTCTCTTTTCTTCCCCCAACATTGTGCTAACAGAAAAGATATAGTGACACCATATGGTAATGCTAAAACCTATGGCCATGATTTAGATAGTGTCCAGCAGCCCTATCTAGCCTTGGCAAACTAATTTGGGATTAGTTGTATCAATTAACAACTGATGAGGTGATCATGGCCATGGCATTCTGCTAATTTTAATTGCTTATGCATTAACTGTTCTCTTTGTTTTTCCTTAAATTTAAATTTTTTTTTTTTTTTTTGTTTGTTTTGCCATGCAAAAAGCCATGGGTAGCATGGTAGCTCAATGGCTAGCATAGCTACCTCAGGGCCAGAGACCTAGTTTCAATCCCAGCCTCGGGTGTAGTTTACACCTTCTCCCGGTGTCTGCAAGGATTTCCTCTGGATACAAAGATGTGCAGGTTAGGTGGATTAGCCATGGGGAAATGCAGAATTACAGGGGTGGGTCTGGGTGGGATCTTGTTTAGCAGGTCAGTGTGAACTCGATGGGCCAAATGGCCTGCTCCCTAGAGATTCCAATACTACGCCTTCCCAGCAGGGTCTGGCAACCCAGAATTGGGATTATTTCTGGCTCAGCAAACCCACTAGGAAAAAATAGCTAGGATTACAGTTTGGGTTGGAAGTGACTGAAAATGGGAGTGGTAGGCTTGCAGCTGCCAATTTTTTTGCAAAGAGTTTGAACTGTCAGATATAAAGGCCAACTGTTTTTGATTTTTGTGTGTGGTGTTTTTTTTTTTTTTCTTAAGCTTTGACCAAACCAAATTGGCCTTTTATCACTTTGGCACACTTGCTATGCCAAATGACGTCACTCTACCTACTCCTAGTATGAGTAGACATTATAGACTTCTTTATTTCTAGAAAATTTCCTCTATATTGTCTCACTTAAAAGCATTTGTAAGCACTTGAAGCAAATGGTGAATTGACCGTGATAATGCTAGATTGTGAAATCAGGCATGCAATATTAATCCTCTTCATGATGACCCTTTGGCTGATGTCAGTGAAATGGCAAGTATTCACTTCCTTTTAATACTGCAGACAAACAAGATTTAAAGGATAAGAGACTTAAGTAGACAGTTCTGATGCATTGATCTACATTTTGTTTTAATCAGATTCATTTGCTACTATTGAACCATTCCAGAGCACAACTGGTATTTCTGAATGGTTTGGATTCTGTCTTGGGACAAGTGTCCCCATCCCCCAAGAAAGTACTCTTGCTCTCAAGAGCTCTAGCAGGCTTTGATGTTTTTTTTTCCTAAAAGAAATTCCATAAGTTGTGTTTTGAACACCCTCCACCCTCAAATTGGATTTTGAGGGTGGCTGCACTTTAACATTTGCAATTATGTTTCTGAACCATGATTGCACAAAGTCACGCCCATTCCATTTTTCTCCTTACCCAGAGCATTGTTGAGCTTTGCTTGCAACTTTTAAAGTAAGACGTTTTTTGAGTTGCAGATATTAAAGATATGCACTGAGGTTTTATTCTTATTTCTGGGGTAAATAAGGAACAACTGGAAAACAACTGTTTTAAACCTCGTGCTGCTCTCTTGTGTGTAGAGCTTGTACCCATAGAGTGCACTGCTGTACTTGTGACCTGACTAAAGCATAGGTAATTAGCCCCCTTGAGCTTAGCCAAATACCATGGCTGATATGTGAGCTCTCGCTCTCGCGTGCGTGCTCTCTCTCTCTCCTTCCCTACCCCTGCTTTTTTTAATATTCCTGGTAGCCTCTGACTCTCTTACTATAGAGAATATATCAAATGCTGCCTTAATTGTTTTCATGATGCAGCCTCCCTGATCTGGGTCATGAAGACTCATGGGTCTTTGAAAGAGAAATACAGTACTCCTGCCCTCCATCTTAAATAGGAGGTACCTTTAATCTATCTTGAGAGAGCCATACTTTCATCCCTGAATTGCCAATATAAATTTGTGCTAAGGCCAAAATTCTAGTGCTCCAGATGTGGTCTTGTCAACACCATTGTCTAGTTCCTACTTCTAAACAAGTTGCACAAATACAACCAGAATGTTACAAATGAATTTGCCCAGCCACCCCTCTATTAGGGTAGTGTGGTAGCTCAGCTCAGCAGTTAGCACTGCTGCCTCCGTACCAGGGGCCCAGGTTCAGCTCCACCCTCGGGCAACACTCTGTGTGGAGTTTACACATTCTTACCCATGCAGACATGGGGTTCTGGGTGCCCCAACTTCCTTCCACAGTGCAAAGATGTGCAGACTAGGTGGATTGGCAGTGCTAAATTACCCATAGTGTTCAGGGATGTGTAGATTAGCTGCATTATCCCTGTAACCCTGCATTACCCATGGCTAGGGTAGGAGGATGGGATGGTGTGGGCTTGGTGGGCCAAGTGGCCTGTTGGCATGCTTCAGGGATTCTATGGAACTCCAGTCTGTCCAATACCAAAGCAGTCAAATCACTTACAAACACAAGCTGGTACTAATGCAAAACAGTCCCAACCTTATTTGGAAACCAGTTACAATAGTCTTTCCTACAAAACAATACTGTCTAATCCTATTCATCCCCTTCAGCTTGCAGTACTTCAGGAATGTTGGTCACTGCAAGAGATTTTTGTCTGAAACTGAAGTCTTGTGCCACAGTTTTTTGTTTTTTTTTTAAATAGTTAATGACACCCTCTCTTTATTCTCCTAACATGCTGTGATCCAAAATACCTGGGATCCCTCTTTCGGTTCTACAATGTGTTTCTCCCCTAAAATAATATGCTGTTTTTTCTGTTTGATCTGCCAAGTGGAAAACACTTCCATTCTCCATCAGTACATATTTAATCTGCCAAACTTCTCATTTGCTTTATCCTTCTATAATCCACTGTGGACTCTAGTCTTCAAATTGCTTTCCCACTTATCTCTTGTCATCAGCAAATCCAGCGTCAATATAAATGGCTGGAAGCCAATGTCATGAAACCTGACGCGGTTGCTTCTGGACCTATTTAAGCTGTTAGTAAGCTACACATCCTGAATGGCCACTTTTTTTTTTAACATGAGTATGGGTTGGCAACAGCCCATGGTATCACTAAAGATGTTTCCTGTTTCTCCCCCTCTCTTTCCTTCCCACCGCACAGCCCACAAATGTTGTCAAATGACACCCTCCACATCTCTTGCGTTTCAATTTTAAATGCGTGACTTGCGTGCAAGGGATGTAGGATTCTCTTCTCTTATTTGCATGGAGTAGTCCTGAGATGGGCAGATAACTGCTGTATTTTTTTTAAGCAGCTAGTTTCTTGCAAATTAGATTGTTCAGCATGATCACTCCTGATCTTTGAATGAAATGCTGTTGTTTTGCCTTCCTCTCCAAGAAGCTTGGCATGCTGTAGGCACATTGCAGGAGTATCATGCCTGTTTCTTTTCATTGGAATAATAAAACCGGATGATCCTGATTATATTTTTTAAAAGGTTGAATTGCCCTAATAGGGATTAGGTGGTGGTGTTTGTTGATTACTGTACACACTAGATAGCTATCTGTAGGATGATATTGATAGTTTAACTGAGCAGGCAGAAGAGTGGCAAAATGACTTTTTTTTTTTTTTGGCAAACACAGCAAGGAATGCAAAATAAATGGGAGGGTTTTGAGAGGAGAAGGGATGGGAGTGAGAGACCTCAGTGCACAGCCATTGATCCCTGAAGGTGGCAGGACCAGTGGATCAAGTGGTAAACAAAACACATTGCATTAAAAATCTATCCTATGAGGTAGTCACAACAAAGACACTTGGCTAGATATATGAATAGGAAAGGTTTGGACGGATATGGGCCAGCAGCAGGCAGGTGGGATTAGTTTAGTTTGGGATTGTTTTGGCATAGACTAATTGGGTTGAAGGTGCTGTGACTGTGTCTCGTGCTGGAACTATAGAAGACACTGTTTCAGCCACAGCTGAGATTTGTGGGCATCTGGTTGTCATATAACCAGAAGGATATTGCTCTAGAGAGTAATGATGTGATTTTAGTATATTGCCAGGCCTTAAATTGCAGCAAAAAAACAAGATTGGATAAGCGAGGGTTCTTTCCTTTTTTTACAAGTTGTGCTGACTTGAGCAAGGTGGGAAAAGTTAATGATACATTTGGATGAAGCAGCAGGGAAGACTTTTTTTCTTTCCCATGTTAGTGGAGAGGTCTCACTAGGACGTCACTTTTTTTTTAATGCATTAAGTTTTGAGGGACCATGAGAAATTATTTTTTTTTTTTTTTAAACACAATAGTTTCTGGAATTTGCTGTTCAGCTTAGTGATTGAAGGATGAAACCCTTGACTCCTTCAAAAGGCATCTGGACTTTTTTAAACTACTGATCACATGCTGAAAAAGGAGTAGATTATGAGTAGCTAGTTTTGTCAGACAAGATTGACTGACTGACTGAATAGATTTTTCTTTTTGTTTTGAACCAAAATGGGGAAGTGAAGGGGAGTTTTCCATGTCTCTGTTTGGGTTTCATGATAGTGGATGCAGTGAATTTATAACAACGTTCCTTGGTTCATGTTGAGAAGCTTCTTTCTAGCTTTATCAGATTCTGCAACTACAAAACTTTGGTACACGTACAACTTCTTCTGTGCTGTCTTGAGCTCGAGCACATCAGTCAAAACATGCACACGAATCCTAAGTTAAGTAGATTAGGCTACCAGTAGCTGGGCAATTCTTGGTCTAGCCCTGTGACCTTCTGATCTATCAATGGGTCAATGAATGTTTACTTTGTTTTAATTGTTTTTTTCTGGTCTACTGTAACTTGTCAATTTCATTTGGCCTTCACAGAGCTACACCTCATTACCCCACCAGTAATGTCAATGAATCCAAGTTTGCTCAGAAGTTTGGCAGTTCAGAAAAGTGCCCCAGATGTGGACAGTCAGTTTATGCTGCTGAGAAAATTATTGGAGCTGGCAAGGTAATAGCATTCTCTTGGAAATAATGTTTTAATATACCTTACAGGCTTTACAGTTGTGGCTACAAGACTAAGATTAACTCATTAATATACAGTACCATTTTTGTGATTTTAAACAAGATGACATGGGAGGGGCATTTTGTAGTCCCCCTTTTTTTTAAAAAAAACACCATTTGGCCTCAAATTGAAGATAGATGTGTTAATGATGTTAACTGGTGAAACAATGTAATTGACGACATGCTGTCCTTTCTTCCCACAAGGCACAGACTTTGACTGAAAGCGGGGGGGGGGGGGGGGGGGTGAAGGTCCCATGCTGCCCTCAATTTGTTCTATCTTCTTATCTTTCAGATAGGCTGGATATTTAATTAACTAACTAAAACTACAACTGGAAGAAATCTTAAATCCGATCAGAACCTAGTCAGCATTACTCCAAGGCTTAATCTTAAATTTTAAATGTTCCCTTACCAGTAAAGGGCTTTTCTTTCAAATTTTTCTATGGTTTAAAATGTAGCAGAAACAACTCAATTGATTTGACTACTATGTTTTTAAGTGTCTCCAAGATCTGACACCAGTGCCAGTCTACTACAATATTAAGACTTTTATTCTGGCAATCACTCCTGGACAATGGTTATAGTATTTGGTAACAAAGCTTAGAGTAATTAGGACTAACTCTAACAAATTCAATCAAACCTACTTCGGTTATGCCAACATTCATGAAAATTCAGACTTCTGGTTTACAAACACTTTAGATCACAATTTCATTAACTTGTTTTTTTTTGTCTTAGCCATTTTTCCTAGAGGGGTCCTCTTGCCCTTGGATCTTTAATGCCAGTTTGTCAAAGCTTGCCAATTTATTAACTAAGCAAAGTGTATGCATCCAATCCAGCTCTAAAATTCTAACTAATTAGCACCAGCATGGAAATGCTGCACATTGTATCTTGGCAAAATAGACACAAATTTCCATTGTTTATAAGACTATCTCCATTTGAAAACCTTTTTAATTAACTTTTTATTGCTTTTGTTTTATATATCTTGGCATTCTTTTGAGGCTCCATACTTAGTTGTTTGGAGGGTTTTTGTTTTGGTAGATGTTTGACTGGATGCCCATAGCTTCAAGGCTTCCTACATGTTCCTGTGTTTGGGTGGTGGGTTTTTTTTTCTCTTGTAAACACCTTTTTAGAATTGTTTAGTGGTTTTTTTTTTAAAAGCACTAACTGTCATATTAAAACCTCATTAACAAGGCTAATACAATTCCTAGTCACAACATTCATGATTTTGAGATTATTTAATTATTCTTTGTTTTCTTTTGTTTTTTGCCTACTGGTAGGCTTGGCACAAACTCTGCTTCCGCTGTGCAAAATGTGGTAAGGGTCTGGAGTCTACAACTTTGGCTGACAAGGATGGCGAGATTTATTGCAAAGGTTTGAATATTTGTTTTGATTGCTACCTACAACTACAAAATTGCATCTCCTTTGGAATAAAATTGGTAGTCAAACACTTTTTTTTGGTTAAAGAAATCACAGAATTAAAATGTATAATTTCAACAACTGAAATTGGCCATTTTCAGTTTGTAAGATACTTTCACTGCCATAAACAAATCAAGATTTTGATATTGAGAGATAGTAGGAACTGTCAATGCTGGAGAATCTGAGATAACAAGGTGTAGAGCTGGATGAACACAACAGGCCAAGCAGCATCAGAGGAGCAGGAAAGCTGATGTTTCAGGTCTGGACCCTTCAGAAAAATTCTTAATCAGCTTGGCCTGCTGTGTCCATCTAGCTCTATACCTTGTTATCTAAGATTTTGATATTCCTGCCTGCTGAATGCTGACATGTCCTGCAGTAACATCCTCAAATAGGAGTTGATATTTTTGCCCTGTTACATTCAAGGTAAAGATGCTTTGAATAAGGATTCCCATATTGTGTAATGTAAAGTACACACCATCTGCAGTAATAGGTCACTTTTTCTTAATATGCAGTTCACAATTACTGGAACATTCTGACCACTTACAAGTTGTTCAGTAACTACCAATTTTGTCTGTCTTTAACTTTTTTTTTCAGTTTTGAGGTGTTTTTAACACCTGGAAGGACTTGATGTTTGTTTTTTAATTCCTTTTTGTTCACATTTAAGGATGGTGTTTTTTATCAGGGTGACACCATCTAAGTTAAACAGTGTCTATTTTATATTGACTGAACTCTCATCAGTCCTGAGCAAGTGCAGATGATGGGCATTTACCTCTTCTCTTACTGAAGTCTTGGAATCTCAAAGCAGAATGCAAATCTGAAAGTTTTTAAGACTGTCAGTCTACATTGTTTAAGCATGCAGGTGTGGCAGGCAGCGAATGCGAATGGTATGTTAGCCTTTTTAAGGTGAAAGGATTTGAGCACAAGAGCATGGATGTCTTGCTGAATTTATACGGAGCCTTGTTAAAATCATACCCTGGAGTATGGGGTGTAGTTTTGGCCTTTTTTTTTTAAGGAAAGATGTTCTGGTTATGGAGCTAGTGTAACAAATGTTTGCCAAACAGATTCCTGGGATGGCAGGACTGATGTAAAAGGAGAGACTAGATAAACTTTTAGGATTATATTCATGCCTTAGAATAAAGGGGAATCCTGTAGAAACCATAAAACTCTTGACAGGATTAGACAGGGAAATGTAGGAAGGATCCTTTCTGACCAACCCACCCACTTTCTAGTATGCCACAGTTGAGGAATGGGGGTAAGCCATATGGGACTAAAATGTGGAGATACATCACCCAGTGGTGAGACTGTGGTTTTTAAAAACCACAATTACAGAAAGCAAATGAGGCCAAAACGCTTCATCTTTTCAAGGATGAGATGGATATAGTTATTTGGGGCTAAAGAGATCAAAGGCATGCAGCAAAAGTGGGAATAAGGTATTGAGTTGGACACTTGCCTATGATCTTAACAAACAGTGGGGCAGGCTTAAGGCAGTAAATGGCATATTCCTCCATTTTGTTTGTTTGGTGTGTGGGTTTTTTAATTTTTGGGGTTCAAGTACCTGAAAGTGATAGAAATCACTTTTTTTTTTTTTTTTTTTTTTTTGTCTTGTAAATTTTTCTTTTAATCCCACCATCCAAAGTCAAGTGTGACTTTAAGCACCTTGAGCAAACACAAGGTTCCAAACATGAATGGTCACTTGGTTCATGAATGAAGTGGGGGGCGGAAAATGTTGGATGGGTAAATCAGGTTGGCAGGCTGGGCACATGCCATAGTCACTCAGCATAGAAATAGACCCTTCAGTCCAACTAGTTGCCAAACCAAAGTAGTCCACTTACCTGCGTTTGGCCCGTATCCCTGCAAACCTTTTTCTATTCACATTACTGTCTAAATGTTGTGACTGTACCTGCAGCCACAATTTTTCCCCTGGCAGGTCATTCCACACATGAACCACTTTTTAAAACAACTTGCCTTTTTTTGTTTTTTAAAAACATCTTCACTCATTCCATTTTTTTTTTTTTTTTTAAAAATATGCCCCATAGTCTTGAAATCCCCCACCCTTGGGAAAAGGGACCTACCATTCACTCTCCCTGTACCCCTCATGATTCTTATTCTTCTAGAAGGTCACTCCTAAACCTCCTACGTTTCAGTTGGGGGAGGGGTTCCAGCCTCTCCTTAACTTAAAACCTCCATTCTCAGCAGTATCCAAATAAGTCTGTCTTTTCTGAACCCAATCTAGGTCAATCGCCTTCCTTTTTTTAATAGGTGACCAGAACTATACACAGTACTCCCAGAGAGGCTTCACCAATGTTCTGCACAATTCCCAACTCCATACTCAAAGGCCTGAGCGATGAAGGCGAGCGTGCTAAATGCCTTAACCACTTTCAAAGAATTCTGTACCTGAACCCCTCGGTCTCTCTTCTGTAACACTACCCAGGGACCTAATATTAACAAATTTAGGGCTTGTACAATTTAATACCTGTCTTATTTTCTTCACACGGCCTCCTAATTGGGCAAATCTGTTGCCATTTTGAGAAAAATGCTAATTCCCCTCTATCTAATTTGACTGGAACCTTTTGTTATTTTGCCACTTAGGTTGAATATTTTCTTGGTCTAGAAGTTTGTGTAGTTGTTGTATCTAACTTTAAATTGTTAGAGAATTGTCTATGAAGCTGTTTAATTTGTACAACTTTAATTTTTCTCTTCCATAGCTTGTTACAGCAAAAGCTTTGGACCCAAGGGATTTGGCTTTGGCCAAGGAGCTGGAGCACTTGCCAATACCCAGTAAAGTATGGTGAAAAGTCTGAACCTGAAGCAAACTACACTTGATATCTATCTGTGAACTGTAGCTACAACATGTCTGTTTACATTTTGATGTTCCATTAATAATAGATCAAGTTAACCACTGTTTATAAACTGCACATTTTCCTAGAATTTCTACATGGCTTGCCACAAACTGCTTAATGTCCACTTTTAACATCAGAATAGTTGTCCTAAATCCAATGACTAGTGTTTTAAGAACAAAGTGAAAATGAATGAAGGCTGATCTAACACTTAGCCCAGAAATTTAATTTTAGTGCATTGAATTCAGTGGTGAAGATTAGGTACACAGACATTGGATTTACAGAATTTTGACTTATAATTTTTGTCTTCCTGTACTTTGGTTTCTTTTGCTCAGCACTTTCACTAAATCAAACATAGTCAAAAGATTTTAATTAAAACTGTCTTTTACTGCATGTTGTTGTCTTTTTGTTTTTTTTTTGTAGGCCTAAAAATTGTCATTTTTATTGCTGTAGTATGGGTAAATCCTCTAGAACACAGCTCCTTTTTTTTTCTTAATCAACTAAAGTTCAATCTGACTTTTAATAATTGGTGGCTTGTGAGGGTGAGGAAGTTTCTTCAAAAAGGAGGAGGTTTACATAGCTGAGTGGAATTATAATGACTGAAATTGACATTAGAAACCCCTTCTGAGAAATGGGATTAAAGGTTGAGGATTTGTCTGGTGGGTTATGAACTAAGTCCAAAAAAATTTCTGGATATTTCAGCTACAAGACCTGTCAGGAATTTGGCAGTATCTTCCTTGCCTAATTGTCCCCTCTTATCCATACTTCCAGTCACCCTCGTACACAGTGGGATGAGCATCTTTATTGAAACTGAAAAGTTGGAAAGGTTTCTACTTTTTGAAGTTGCAGTGGATGACTGTCAACCTCCTGGTTTGAGCAGGGCAATAGGCTGTAGAATGAATATCGGCTACTTGGATGAGGCTGTGATGTTCCTGGAGAGGGAAATGTGAGGGCAGCTATGAAGTGTTGCCTTGAGTAGTGCTGTGTAGGCAATGTCCGAATGGGGTAAGCTCCTAAACACTACATGTGTTTTTTTTTTTAAAAACCCTACAATCTACTTAGCAGTATTAGTCTCTGTCACTACTTGGAGGAAATGCATAAAATTAACAGTTGAGTGCTGAGTTTACTTTAAATTTAGCTACACAATATTGAACAAGTGGATTTTGTAGAACTAGTGACTAAGTAAATTTTGTCCCTCTGTTTTCAGCTGGTAGTTTAAAGTTCAAAGCTCATACTAGAATGAGTGAACAAGTGAGTAGCTGCAAGTGTTTTTCTTTCAGATGAATCCTCCCACTTTTTAAATTGCATTCATTCAAATAAATTACTTAATTTTTCAAGGCAATTGGTATAAAATCTAGCCCCAAATAAATAAGATCAGATTTATTCACAGAATACAGCTAATAAAATTTTTGTAGATTTCCTGTAGCATTAATAGAAATGGCTAGACTGTATATCTTTGTGCCTGCAAGAAACAAATTTTGATCATAGTTCTGTTATATTTCAATTGGTTGTTTAAATGTTTTTTTTCCAGGCATAGAAGCAGTGGCTTTTAAGCCTCCTGAAGTTCTGAGCCTCTTGGGACCTCTCTTGTAGCAAGCAAAATCTTTTTTGGTTTATTTACATGTCTTTGATTTTAGTGCATGTCCTTTTTTGTTTTAGTGCTTAAACACAAAGGACCAAAACTTCAAAGTTTTTGATGTCAAGCTAAATTCTCAGAAGGAAAGACTGTTTTAATATTGGAATCTGTCCAGAAAGGAGTTGAGTAAAACTTAAATGAGAATGTTAGCTCAATAGATTACCATTAACTAGGTAGAAGCATTTTAAACACTTAAAAATTGTATTAAGAAGTACATATAGATTAAATTATTTGTCCATTTGCTGTACTATGGTGGGTTTTAATGGAAAAAATTGTAAACAAGTGAAGGCCCTCAGCAGTAAACTTTATGTAAACATTCACAAATTCAATCTGTAGAATCCTAACTTCGTTTTTAGCCTTGCAAGTTTTTTTAGGATTCACTGCTGTGCACCTGAATATGCACACAATCATGAAGAGGAGCACTTGATTACAGCTGAGCTATTCAATGTGGGATCATGTCCTTGTCTAGCCTTCTGTACTCTTAGGAACTTTAATACTTCAATCATGAAAATTTATCTGCATTTCCTACTGATATATCAATTGATTTGTAGTAGTTAATCTTGGGTGATAATCTGGCAATCCTGCATGGTATCAGTTGAATTAACTAAAAATGGATAGGTGGCATCCTGCCAGTTTTTAGGCTGTGCCCAAATTGAGTTTCTGTCCAGTTACTTAAATGCATTGTTTTCACTAGTGCAAAGGGTTTTTGTAATCTATAGTTCCAGTGTCAATTAGCCTTCCGAAAGATGTTTTAGGCAGGAATTGTTCCTTTTAACATACTGGCTTCCTAGTTATATACCATATTGCTATGTGCTTGTGTAACAAATTCTAAGTGACTTGCAGTCTGTGATAATCCTAAACTGTTAACGACTTTCACTGTCTTTTACCATCTTCTCCAAATTAAGTATTAAATAAATCAAATGCTACTTTTACCTTGTGATTTTTTTTGTAATACAAAATCAAGAAAAAGTTTGGTTTCTGTATCTCACTTGTGTTGATGTCATGAAAGGATGGACAACCAGGTCAGACTTGATTGAACTACTACCATCTTGCTACAACATTGGTCCAGTACCTTGGCTGTTCTGGGTACTAGCTTACCAATAGCAGTCTACAGACCACTCCCATTGGCAGGACAAACAGCCTATGATTGTTCTGAACGACAATATTTCATTGATCGCTGGCATGTCTAACACATCAGTGTTCCTTCTTTCATTTGCTGCCATGTATCTTCTGCTCTCTCTTGTGCACTGTCAATAACTAGAGCTTTCTCTACCAATGGGTCTCCACTCCACTCCAGCTCCTGCCTACTCTAGTGTCTAATGCAGGCTGGTTGTAAGTGATTGATTTGTGTTTGTTTGTTTGGTGTGTGTTTTTTTTTTGTGCTTTTTAACCTCCCCTCACTTAATCCCCCTCAGTATGTAGAGTTTGGTAATGAATGAGGTGTTGATGTCAAATAAACTGTGCATTCTCATGCCCCAGATCTCCATTCTGATTTGGGATCCTGACAAACTTCAATTCTCCAGGATCATGGAAGGAGAGTGGATGATGTAATTTGGGAAGCAAAAGCTAGAAAGTTGTGGTGTGGTGTTTGGTTGTTTGTTTTTTTTTTTTCCTTTTGTTTTTTTTTTTTAAAAAACCAGTGCAGTCCTGCAGCACCACCTCCACCCACCAAGTTGTCCTTAACCTAGCTACATGGCTCTTGCTGTTTGCTGGTATAAGTACAATGGCTACCATTAATTTGATTCTTGAAGTTGAGAATTAGTATTGCTAGAATCTGGAAAGAAATGCATCACTAGTTGTCATGTATGGTGAAGCTTAATAGACTGGCCACTTTGCGCTGAGTACTGAGATTCCATTAGTTGCAATGCATCTACATAGTGGGCTGTTTGTTCAACTGGTAGGTGATCTAATACTGCCAGTTCTGTCACTATCCAAGATTTATTTTCCAGCCTCTGAAAGTAGTTAAACATGTGCTACACCAGTTTAGCTTTAACCTAGAAGTACAACTGTGGCTTAGCAAATACAGAACTGTTTTTCTGTGCTTCAGAACACTGCTGTTTTTATGCAAAGCAAAAATAAAACTGACTATAAACACACTTCCACTTTCTTTTGGCATCAATTATAGACATCCTCTTAAGCTAGTTCCTGCTGCTGCACAAAAGGAATCCCCAAGTTATTACCATAAATGACTGTATCCTTGTACTTTTTTTAAGCCCTGTTTCCTCCCTCCTATATTGCATCCCTTTTTTTATATTTTATAAAATCTTTTGAACTGTGCTACATTTAGTAAAGGCAAGTTATTGAAACTCTTGTAGTTCAAGATTTTATCGCTCTTTAGTCAACACTTACAGAACAGAAATAAGATGACATCAAATCTAAGACTGCCTTTATAAGAAGGCTTGTGTGTATAACGTTGACAGCAATAGTGGCCAAAGCACATGCTTAAGTTTCCCAAACTGACTTCCTGTGCAGCTCCTTGCTGAGTTTCATAACAACAGGAAATTGGTAACCAATAGGCTTCTGTTAAGATCATCATCATCATCAGGAACTCCTGTAATGAAACATCATCCAAATATGACTGACTGACTGACTATGATGTGTGTAACACCAATGGCAACAATTTTGTGGAACAATATCTTTATCTTTATACCTGTCTGAAGTAACAATTTCAAACAGCATGAGATTTAAAAAAAATAATTAACACTAAGGTATGAAAATGAGATAGCTGCAGTCTTCCTTTAATTAGTAATAAATGTAACTATATAATACAATGAAATTTTAGAAATACTTTATCCACTAGCTGCTCCTCATGTTTTAACATGCACTTGAAGATTTTCATATTTTTATTTGCCTCAGTTGTCAACTAAAGGGGTGCTTCCTGTGAAGAAACTGCAGATGTTTCCAGTTTCACAGTATTAATAGTTTTAAAATGTAACAGCCATGGATTAAAGGTAACAGAAACTCTTACTTTATATTTTCCTGTTAAAATGTAATATGAATTGATGTCCTGGCTTCAACTTAGTTAGCTCTTAAATTGAAATATTTAGTATACTGTCTTCCTTTTTATTAGTTGAGTCACACTGCTCATTTACCAAACCACCTGGTCCCTGGGCTAAGAGTCTTGTCCATGATAAGAGGCTGAATTAAATTTTAATTTGAAGGATGACCTAACTGAAATACATAAGATTGTGAAGGGACTTGACAGGGTGGGGAATTTTATATTGTAAGGCATGGTTTTGGGATGTGTGATTGATCATTTAGTACTGAGGAGATATTTCTTAAAGGGTTGTGAATCTTTGGAATTCTCAACCAAAAAGTTTGAAGGTCAGTAATAATTGAATATTTTAAGTTTGTTTGTTTTTTGTGTTTTGGTCTCCCAGGGAATCCATGGGGAGCTGAAGTCCAAGATTAGCTACCCTCGTGCTGAATGGTGGAGTAGGCTCAGGGCTGTATGGTCTCTCTGCTCCTTTTTTTTTTTTTAGTCTGCTATTAACGGACTCCCTCCCTCTCATACTTCAGAATGCTGTACAACTATGACCTTTACGGCTACAAAAGAGACCCTTCGGTTCACTTTGTCCAGGCCAATCAGATATCCTAAATTAATCTAGTCCCATTTGCCAGTATTTGGTCCAGATCCCTTTTAAGCCCTTCTTATTCATATACCCATCCAGCTACCCTTCAAATGTTGTGATTGTAACAGCTACCACTGCCTCTTTAGGCAGCTCTTTCCATACACTCACCACCCTGTGTGGAAGAAGTTGCCCCTTAGGACCCTTTTTAAATCTTTCCCCTCTCTCCTTCAAACCTGTAGCCTGAAGTTTTGGACTCCCCTACCCTGGGGAAAAGACCACGGCTATTCACCCTGTCTATGCCCCTTGTGAGTCTATAAACTAAAGTCACCCCTTTGGCCTCTGTTGCTTCAGGGGAAAATAGCCCCAAGCGCTTCAGCCTCTCCCTCTAGCTCAAATTCTCCAACCCTGGCAACATCTTTTTTTAAATCTTTTCTGCACACTTTTCACAATGTCTTATAGCAGAGAGACTAGAATTAAATGCAGTATTCCAAAAGTGGTCTAATCAATGTCCTGTACAGCCACAACATGACCTCCCAACTCCTAATACTTGAGGCACTGACCAATGATGGCAAATATACCCAACGCCCTGCCTACCTGCAACTCCTCCACTTGCAAGGAGCTATGGACCTGCATCCCCAGATCTTTGTTTGGCAAAAGTGTGCAAATGCACACGCCCTCTCTGTTGTTATTTAACCTTCCAACTGCTGGGGCAAGCGTGTGTGTGTGCACAATGTAACTGCCACTGCTGTTATGATGGCTTCTCAGACCTCTGATTGATTACTATTTTAGGGAAAGGGCATCACTTTGCAGGTGAGTGAGAGAGTGGCAACATGTGGAGAGAGAACAGAACTTGTGGAAATTGAAGAGACTGTGGTTTTTTTTTTCCACACTCCTGCTGCTCCTCCAATCACAGTCCATTTCTTTCCCCCATATTTTCTGCCAGTAGGATCACTGCTGCAAATCATGGGTGCTCTCAGGTGGCTTCCTTGTAGTTTTGAGCGTGACTGAGAAAATAAGCAGTGGCTGTACAGAACACGACTGCTCCAAACCCAAGGAAGTGGAAGAAACAATGTTGCAACCTGAATAGTACCTTTCAAAATGATCAAAATATTCACAAGTAATACTAGTAGCTTTGACCCCAACTCACCATTCATCAACAAATCACATCCCTTATCTCTTCTCTTTTTGACTCTCACATTACCCTCATGAACACCCAGGAAACCTGACACGTTTCAATTCAAATGTATGATTTGAATCATATTTCATGCACATAAAAATTTAAACTTCATCCTCGTGGTCTCTCAGCGCCTCACCCATATATCTTTACCTGTCTCAAGTGCCCTTATGAGGTCCTACCATGTGGATGATGGGAGGCTGCTTACAGTTAGTGGAGAAGACGGGAGGTAGATGAGGGCAAATTCAAACACCATTATGTGTACCATCTTGGCCTAGCTGCTGACAGACAAAGTTTAGATCAGCAGACAGTAAGCACTGCAGATGCTAAAAGCTAGACTCAATAAATGTGGAGCTGGAAAAGCACAGCAAGTCTGATAGTATCCAAGGAACAGGGAAGTCCATGTTTCAGACTGAAACCCTTCATCCTGGCAAAAGATTTAGACCAGAGTGTTTTTAATTAATACACTGATACCAAGGGGAACAGTGTGTACAGAAATGCACTGGATAGACATGATTTTACCAGGTTGGTGGGGGAAAAGGGCCTAACATGAAGTAAGGGGTGGAGTTATCTTTCCACCATCATGGCATTTTACTGACAGCAGAGAAGATGGAGAACAATCCTTTGCACAGAGGATAATAGAGGTGTTCAAATAACAAAATAAAGGCTTCTTTCTAACACTGGCATTACTTCATCAGTGGGACAATAATCAGTGGCCTTCCAGAACACAACTGTTAGAAAGCCGAGGAGCTTTAAGTGGAAGAAGAATCAATGGAGTAGAGAGGAGAGCTGCAACCTGGATAGCCCCTTTCTGTACCCTATGCTTCCCCCACCACATTAGGCTCAGTGACCTTCCCAATTGGTTCCTCTATGATCACGGAGTGGCACACTTCCCATCCTGGCAGCAGCGACCAAGCCCATGTTTAACATCTCAAGCCTCCAGCTTCACAATCACCAACCAATCACTTTGCCTGACTAGTCCCAATAACTCCAAGTTCCCAAACACCAAGATGTGAAAAGTGGCATCCACCAGTACGTCCTCTTGGCTGTGTGCAGTACCAGCATTGGCCACTACTCCCAGTGTCGCTATTGAAGCTGAAAAGCTGCTGGTTTTCCAATTGATCAGCAGCTGTTGGGGGGAAGCTCCTGTTTTTAAAAGGAGCAGGAGCTTCAACAGCTATTAGTT